GTCAAAGTCCAGTTAGTGGATGGGACGTATGGGCCCAGATTCGAAGCAAAAAATGCACTCAAAGCGGAGGATCCGCGCCTTGTGAGAGTAGAAGGTGTTGACTCCAAGGATAGTGAAGCCAGGCCAGGAACAATACAGTACGAAAACAAACTAGGGACCCGTCCAATCCGAGTCGGACTTGAAAGATGGGAGGAAGAACTTTGGGGCACGCTGTCGGCGGGTGCTCCCGTGGCGTGGTTCTGGGCTCTGGGATAGTGAGATTGTGGAAATGAGCCCCATCGGACGAGCGGAAGATGCAACGACGGGGAACTTGCTGTAATCCGGTAGTGTACAGAACAGCAAGTACACTGCTTCTATAATACAAGGTCCAATATAACATATTTGGTGAAAGTAGGTATAAGTCCCAATCGGTCGGTAAGTGCCAAGTAAGTGCCAAGTAATAAGTTACGGATTGGAGTCGAATTCCTCCTTCCCTCGAAAAGAAACGAATAAGGATTTCTACGGGGTGAGTTTGAGTTGGAATTATTGGCCTAAAGTAAACAAGTAAACAACGGCGGAGACCTTGAAGTTGAACCGTGGGTATGTAAATCTGATTGAAATTGAAGCCGAGTAATTGCAAGATCCCGGGCAAGAGGCAGGCGGGATCAAAGTTTCTGACATCAACCTCCAAAAGTTTTGACATGCTGTGCAGGGGAGGGAGGGAGGGAGGGTCCGGATCACGGGCCGCCTCCCGAAACACCGCTGGGCGTCTGTTGTATGGGTTCAGCACCATTTTTACTCATTTATGGTTATCCCATGCCCGTAGTTATGCTAATGAATATATCTAGTCATTTTCCAGAATTTTTGAAGCGGATTTACCTTGACTTGCATTTCGGACGAGTGAGGGATCAAATCCGAAAAAGCCGATCGCCGAGATCACCGTGGAGTCTGTCGTAAAGTAAATGATTGTTTTGAGGCCGATACCGAGGGAGGAATAATATTTTGACTTGGCAGGCCAATTCTATGTATGGGAAAATGGGAGGGTACACAAAATCTCAGAGGAATCCGGAGTCAAGGCGGGCGAGAAATAGAAGTTTTCAATTTTAAGCGTCAAAAGGCATTGATGTGGCTGTGAAGGGGACCTGTCAAGGAGGTCTGTGTTTGATCGGCAATTCCCGCCTGCCTCTTGATCCCGGGAGGTAATAATCCATTCAAAGAAATACTAACTTTTCCTTCAATCCGAGTCCGGTTCTCCTATTTCCCATGCGAATTTGTTCGTTCCAACGTACTACTACTTAACCGTCACCTTAACCTAACTGACGCGTCCCAGACGCGTTGGGTTCAACCGGTGGTCGGGGTCCCCCATCAACGGCAACGGCTGCCGCGCGAGCGTGGCTGTGCTCCTTGGACCCCTCTTACTCCTCCCGGTGTTCTGTTCCAAGGCTAGAATCGCTCGCGGGCCCCAACGCCCAGACCCTCGCACCCCGACAGCGCGTCCCAATTTTTTTTTTTTGCGCGCCCCAAGTCCTTCCATTTTTCATTCAAGTCAGATTTGGACGGCACCCTGCTTTTTGGTATTGTTCCTGGCCTGGCTTCACTATCCTTGGAGTCAACACCTTCTACTCTCACAAGGCGCGGATCCTCCGTTTTTGGGATAATGCGGTGCATTCTCGGCTTCGAATCTGGGCCATACGACCTGGACTTCGACGCGCCGCGCTGTGGGTCCCTCTCCGATAAACTCGTCTCAATTCGGAATTCTCGTCGGATGACCTCTCAAAATCCTGCGACTCGACTCAATTCCTAGCAATCGCACCAACAACAGACTCGCATTCTAATCTTGTCTCTGGTAGGATAACCTCAAAACTCTCATCAAATCCCTTCGTTGTCCCAGCATCACTTCCCTTCACGTCGCGCGTCTCTATACACTCTATTCAATTCGTGTCTCCAAGTCGAGACGAGCTTTCAAAAATTCTCATCAAATCCCTTCGATGTCCCAGGCTCACTTCCTTCGCGTTGCGCGTCGGCGTCGCACCAACATTTCTTATCTTGACTGTCGCTCGCGTCCGCATACAATCGCGCTCTCGACATCGCTTCGCCGTCGTCCAACCTTTGTTCCTTCCAACTTATACGCCATCGTTGTACATGCTAGTAGAAATAAATGTCGCTTTGACTGATGCGTCGCACGACTTCTCAGCATCACCTTCGCTCACGTTGCACGTCCTCGGATAACCAACCTTCCCTGCCATCGCCATCTTCGCTGCCATCCGCCGCCCGTCTTCCTTCGGGTTCATATGTCTATGCCCATCTTCCATGCTCGGCGCGTCCCGCGTCGTACTTCTCCGCGCTCTTCATTTTTTTCTTTGGTCCCAGGATAACTTCCACTTCCACTCTGTTGCGCGTCGTCTAAGCTCTGCTTTGTTCCTTCCACCCTGTACAGTTCTCAGGATCACCTTTCCTCATGCTACCCCTCCTCGAAAAGCTTCCCCGCCATCTCACGTCGCGCCTCCTCGGATAAGCTACAACTGCGTCTGTGTCGTGTCAGCCTCGGCAACTCCCCTCTTCCTTCGGGCGGGGTTCTTCAAATTTCAAATCTTGCTAACGTTCCTCGGGCTTCATCTGTCTATCCTATCCTATCTTCGTAACGTTCCCCGGCTTCATACGCCCATGCCTATCAAGCTGTCTCCGGTCGCGACGTTCCGAGACGCGATATCTCCCGAGTCCGTCCAAAAACACACCGCGATGCTTACCTTGCCTTACACACCATCTCCGCGTATCTGATACCCAGCGCCACCGGCCTTCGGGACGAAGACCCCACGGCGACCACCTTACCACTGATAGACATGGACACAGGCACTGCTTTATCTTTAGTCTGGTTTCCATTCATTCCAAGTTTCCCGTGTGTCAACAACATCGCATCGCCTTCGTCCCGGCCCTCCGACTCCTTTCCACATCCGGAATACGCCACATCTATTCTGAAGATAGACGCGCCTCGCCGTCGATTAACTAGGTCCAACTCCGCCAATCTCAATATGGAATACACCACCACACCACATCTAATCTATTCCGAGATAGACGCGCCTCGGCGTGCATCCACAGAGTCTCGGCGCTCGGGCCTCGGTCGTTGTATGAACCTGTCAATCTTTAAAAAATTGAACTGAATTGAATTGAATTGTTGGTCTATGCAGTGTCGGCGACGATCCCTCGCACTCAATGCAATGAAAATCCGTTGGTCTCGTGGCGGTAATGGGTACCGTCCCGAGTTCCGATATCGGTTTATTTTTCATCCAACTCCCAGGAACTCCCACTCGGGGTCGGCGTCGGCGTCGACGACGAACCAAAAAAATGATACATCGCATGCAGGCTCAGGCTAAACCGTCCATTCGATGTTCTCTCTTCTCGCGATCCCTCGCTACATACATACTTACTTTACAACTTACATTCCGATGGATGCGAAATCGAACAAATGCTTCCCATCGCCGCCGGCGCGCATGCATATGGACCCGCAGATATCGGCTCCTCTCTTCTGTCGTTGTTGCCGCTTCTTTTCTTTTCAGAATTCAGTCGGGTACGGGTATGGTCTCGGCGCACGTTCGATTCGACACCATCGATTTGTGTTCAAACTTCAATTTAGCCATCGAGGTCCATAATGCACACATGAATGAGCTCTCTTCTCCTTTTTTGCACGACCATGCTTTTCTTTTTCCGCTCTCTTGCAATCCGACGCACTGGGGCGCGATAGCCCTCGCGTGCGAAAAACCCCATATGCGATCAAAGTCGATCGATTGGTCTGTTTTCCAAACGGGGAACTAACTGCTTCTGACAGGAGGGTCATGTGGACCTCTCGGGCTTACCTTTTTTGGAGTCTTGGCAGGCTTGGCTCGTTTTTTGCGTTGATAGGGGTCAGGTTCATTTCTGAACCCCTCATCCTAGGAACATGGCTGGTTAGGGGTTGTGGGGATACATAGGAGGTGCGGGGAAATTTGAATTCACGAACAAAGCTATATTTATGCCCGTGGACGGAGAACCACAGTAACTCAACGGTGAGTAGTGAAAACTCATTGCTCATCGCGCAACTTGAGCTTGGGAGAATCGAAGAATTCCTTGAAATTGCCTCCAGGATCCATTCCCAGGTTACGTAGTAGTCATCACTGGCCAACGCGAAGTTCAACTTGGGCGGGTAAATTTATTGTCCAATATGTTTAGTTTAGTCCAAGTAAGCTCAGCTCATCCGGAAGTCTCCTAACAATAAATGAATCGCAGGTGCAAGGAAAGGGAGTAATGGGTACATCACAGCAACCGGAAGCCCTTGAACTTGTCATTATAATTTCCTTCACCCTAGTTCTCTCTTCTGGGTGTGAGGTACACAAGAGTATGTATCATCACAAGCTAAACTAGGTCACACATCTTCCCGATACCAGCCCGCGATACAGTATAACATCACCTTCCCGAACACGGCATCAAAGCTTTCCCACGGTTGAATTTCATTCCATGTCTCCTTGGCTCGTCCCCAGAATTCGAGAACCAGCCTGCACACGGCAAAAACACATCTGTACGAGTCCAACCCGGCACTGAGCGCATTTTCTCCTAGATTCCACCTCGTTGCCTGCTACTCTACATGTACTGGTCCCGTTGCTTGTGAGTGTGATGGTATTTAGTAGAGTGGAAAGCAAATGTCCCAAAGGCGATGCATGCACTATGAAAGTGCACTCAGACCAGCGGCTGGATCGCGGATCAAGACGATCCTAACCTCCCAAAACATTTCAGGGAGGAAAAAAGAGACGCTGAGTTAGAAGATTTGTGTCATCGAAAAAGATTCCTTTGAAAAAGTAAAACATCCTCGCTTGATATTATTGTGGACTGTAGGGGAACTCTACATAGAGTGGTTGAGAAACGAGAATAGAAAAACAGGTTTGGCAGGGGAATGCTGACCGCCGACGGATCACGAATCGTGATTTGATCCCAAACTTGAACCTCATTACCCCAATTTCGACCTTATGGCTCTTTTCTTGAACCAGAGAATGGGAGCAGTAACTCAGTGGTAGAGTGCACGATTGCAAATTTGACTGACGATATCGTGATGTCCCGTGTTCGAACCACGGTTGCTCCTCCTTTTTCGCTCTGGAGACCTTTTTGTTTTCCAAACAATGAAATCATTCCGCCAGTGACGCAGTGATAACCGCTTATTTCCCCACGGTACCAGCACTGCCCCCCGAAATCCGCTGTAACCATTTCAACACACATCTCAACCTGATGCGCCGACGGACGAATTGGTGAATCATCGATTTCTACTATGATTTTCACTGTAAGAAGAGATAGTTCTTTGCGGCGCTCAAAGAGATCGGGGAAGTATTGAATTTCACCCTGGCAAAGCAAGGAGCCAGGGAGTCCACCGGCCACAGCATGCATTTCCTTTTGAGTCCATCCAAGCCCGCGTGCAATTTTACCAACTGACGAAATTTAATTCGCAGATATAATTTGGCGAAAAAGATGGTATTGAGGAATAGATACAGCAGTACAAATTGCGAGGTATGAGCAAAATTTTGTAGCATCTGTCTACGAGAGACTAGATACAGCAGTGTGTACGGCCAACCAAGGAAACAACACGAGGAGGAGGAGGGGGAAATTGATGCTTGGGTGGGGAGGGTTGTAAAAGGCCGTCATAAAGGGAGGCTGTTGGGGGCTCGACAACCTCTTGCATTGTGCGGAAGTTGCCAGGGCCGGTGCTGAAAGGATTCAATCTTGCCAACAAGCTTGTGTTTTGTGATGAACGGTCTTGGGGGCGTGAAGAGGCGGGGACAGTATTCTGATCAAGGGTGGGCCGTGGATTAAGACGGAAATTTTCATTTCTCCTCCTCCATGGTGGAATTCCAACCCTTTTTCATCCAAAGATGTTATAAGAACACTACACCTTAACATTCATTGACACAACAGGGTTCTACAAGCAGTAGAGTAGACTTGTTTTAAGTTACCATGTATTCAATCAAATATTCCCACAGTTGAATTCCCTTGACACAGTATTGGCAAGAATTTGGGGCCAGCAGTCTGTTCAGTGAACATTATACGACACGGCCCATGGGGATGAACAGCAGGTGGCAAGCCATCATGATATCAAGTAATTACACTGTGTGCCCTGCACCCAAGCACCTCCGAATTTCGATGTGGACCATAACAACATAAACCAAGCTCCACAATGTGGGCACTGTAAATCCAACCAATTGAATGGCGCTGAGGGAGACCGTGGTCCCCACTTTTGGGACAATGACCTCAAGTCCGACAGCAGCCAAGAAGCAGAGGAAACTGAAAAGTGACCTAGACACAACATTGACACAATGGAAAGGAAAGCTGTACGCATTTACTCACCAACTCATCCAAGTAAGGGGGAGAGATAACATTATGGATGGGCTCCAAAACGTATGCCGTGGTTGTATATTCTGTGGAGGCTTATTCACAAGATGAGCTGAAGATAATTTCTTATTGAACGTACACATAAATAGTTTGTGAATTGTTCTTCGTGTTCTCCGATGTGAAAAGCTAGGAAGCTGGCATACACAAACCCAAAGAAGGAGAATATCCCACTGAGTATAAGAAAGCTTTGGGAAAGAGGATAAGCTGGCACGCCGCTCAGGGCTAAGAGAGCCGCTGCAGTCCTATGTCGGAGATGAGTAAAGTGATATATACAAGTTGAAAGGCAAATTACGCTGATATGGCAGCATTGGCACTCCAGACCCAACTCTTGAGGGCATCCAGCCGAGCTCCCAATCGTTCACGATCCCATATATTTTCAGTGTCACGGATCCACGGAGGATTAATGAGGAAGATGTATACAACACCAAAATGATGAAGTGTTGTCTGTCCCAGGTTGGCTACCCATGCAGATGCTCCAGACAGGTAAGAGATTTGTTGAGATTGCTGGTTTGGGGGATAAGTGTGCCCCTCTGGCGTTGGAGAAACATGATTGATGGGTTCCTCCGATGGAAGTGGTGTTGGCAATCTACGACGTCGCACCACTGAATTTTGAGCAGACAACTTGAAAAATGAGGTGGCGCTGGGATTAGAGTCGACTTGCAGGGGTATAGGCATGAAAGGAACACTCTCGTTCAACATGATCTCCTCTGCCTCCCGTGAAATCACAGGTGTGGTTGAAACCTGAATGCTGTTCTGGACTGGCTCCGTGACAACGGAGGTGGCGGGTATATCCTCTATAAATTGGACTCCACAGTTCTGGCTGATGCATGATTAACTCGAGGACAACAAATGAATACAAAATTGACTTGCCAAAACCCATTACCATCATCAGTTTGTTGTTCGCAGCACGAATCACCCCGAATGACACACAGGACAACATGGGTTTGAGCATGATACCCCCCAGATAAGATCCATTCCTCCCATTGTTCTCCGAATAATAGTCGATTCCCGTCGTCTTCGAGACGAACTACGAATTGGCTGTCTTTCAAATAAGCCAACCTCTTGATGTCTACTCCAATGAGACAATAACAAAATGCCTGCCGTAGGTTAGTTTTGAAGCCTAGGTGATGTAAAGGAGCGTCTTGGTACCTGCCATGTGCGACAATATTCCATTGGAAGAGATACCGCAACATATTGGTTGTGGTCAAGCTTCAGAGCCAGGTTTACTTGGCCTAACTTTGAGGGATGGGCAGTCTGAGTGTAGATCACAGTGTACATCTGGACACCACTGGATACTCCAAACATATATGGATGGCTCGGTACCAGGGCGGAAAATGATTCCCTGGAGGAACTTTGTGCAATGTTTAGCCGCCATTCCTAACAGATCTTAGCGCAGATTATGGAATATAATATCTCAATACACACCTTCTCCGCACTGTCACCTCCTTCATATCTGACTACTACCACTGGCTGAGATTTATGAATTATGGCAGAGTATACCCTCCTGCTGCTGTGTGGGTGTCGCGACGATTCCTCGGGAATTTCACGTCCCAGCTCAATATCTGCGTGTGGGATCACACGAATCAGCGGGATCACTCGGATTGAATCTGTCCACTATCAGTGCATGGTGCGGAAGAAGTTACAAAGTGGGAGAGTTACGGTGAGGTAGAGCTGCAATCACGACGTCCTTTGTGATTATATTGGACGGTCTCAGCTGGATGTCGCCGGACACATTTGTGAACTCTCCGCCAGTGATTATAAAATCCTTTGAATTGGCAAAGCTGTCAAGGCTAAATGAGCATTGCACGCTCGCTGTACGGGCAAAGGGACATGCAAGGAAGTTTGGTTTGAGGTTCTTCCAGGACGAGTGGACTCGTGTTTACCCATGGTAGTTGGTGGGAGGACGAAAGAGATAATGATCGTGCAGGGAGGCGGTACACTTACAAGGTGTCAGAAGTTTGATCTCAACAGCAATTAGAGTGCACCGAGAGACGCAATCAAATGTTTCCCAAGGCAACCTTCTGCCAGCCCTTCATCTGCAAAAGCTCACCGCCAAGCCACCTACACATGTCTTATGGTCTTGCATTTGAGCAGAGTTCACAGTGTTCTACGGGTATTAAGATTAAACTGGCAGGGCTGTGTTCACATCGCTTTCCAAATTTAGTTCCTGTATCTGCTTCCATCATTGGCACATGGCTACAGACGGTATCACCTATCATCTACAGCAATCCCTCCCTCTTCAAATCGTAAAAGTAATAGTGTCTTCATGCCGCCAAGTTCAACTTGAGACTCAATTTCATCGCAGAGATTCCATCATAATCAAGTGTGAATTTCAGATAGTGCAACATCATGTCAATGGGCATCACACACAAACCAAGGAACAACATCTCACAGGTTGCATAAATGAGAGAAGCAAATCCATCACTTGTCTGTGCAATCAAATATTTTGATGAACCTTCCCACGGTTGGATTACCCAGTCGCGCGCGCAGCATTTTCATTACAGTGGACTATGTCTCCTTAGGAGTCTACATAATCACGGTACATGTGGTCGAAGCCATGGGGTATATAACCAAATCGATCATTGGGAAGAGGTCCTGAGGAAGCAAGCGGAGGAATGAATGGAGTCCAATATAAACTACCCCATCCGGATCCGGTTGCAGTACCTCGTTCACCGTCGTGTTGGGAGCGCTGAGCCTCCTGCTTATTTTTAGTGCATCTGTAATCATTTGAGATGCCTCAGGACCATCCAACCATCCTCTGTTTTCTGCTGAATGTTGAAGCAGCGGAAGAGTCACGGTGACTAAGTATATGTCACCTTCCAGACCTTGGTTGCCATTTGCAGTCAACTGAAAGAAGTGATGTTGTTCCACACCTCCCTTGTTGAAGTTGCTTAAATCCACAGAAATGTAAGGACATGCAGAGGTCTGAAGAATATTTGTTCTTATCTTTACGGCACCTCGTTCTGGCTCGGTCATAACTCCGGAAAGCCGACGCCGAGCCCATCCGAACCCGCCTTGTTCGAACGTTCATCTGCTGTGTTACTCCCGTCATTGCCACGTTCTGGACTCGGACTGAACGGCGTTCATTTCGCCTATTTCGCGATCCGCCATCCCGTTTCCGACATCTCAACAAGAAGCTACGAGTCGACGACTTATCTCGACCCGATTCCGTCATTCAATTCGACACGATGAGTTGCGCGACGGTCGACCAGTTCCAGTGCTTCGTGGACGCGTCTTCCAGTCGGCAGCTCGGGAATTTAATTTCGCTTGGGCTCGAGATGTCTCACGAGCGTGTTGTCGCCAATTGCCATTCAAGTTCTCTGACCCAGAGATAAGGCCTTTCGAGTGTTTGGAGACCAGGTCCGCTGGGCGGCGTCTACTTAACCCCGGAAACTCGCACCCCATTCAACCACGTCGGCATACACGACGCTAAGTCCACGCCCTCTCTGGGAACGTGCCCGTTCGAATGAACCTGGAGCTGGCCGCAAGGTCAGCTCCACGTAGGTACGCCATTTTCCCGATTCGCGCGACTCATACCGTTGTCAGTCTCCCTGGAGAAAGGAAGCGAACGTACGGCGTCTTACAGCAACGGCTCTTCGGCGCGATCACCATGAGCGTCGGCCGCGGTGTGCGTTAGACAAGTACATAAAGATCGGTGTTGATATCCCTGCAGATAGGCGGAACGCGGAGGCGGACGAACGT